ATTGATGGCAAATGTGATAAGCCAAAACAGCTAAAGTAGTCAATAAATATGATACACTAGGAAGCACGCTAAGCTAATGGTATTTAGTAGAAGTTAGTACAAATACAAAGTGTAATTGCGAGAGAAGTATTTAAAATACAGGCAAATATTTAAAGGTTGAATTCACTAAAATACTTCAACGCTTACAAAGGTGATAAAAACTATAGAAAATTTACATACCTACATATCTACATAACTACTAACATACTTCATTATCTACACTACATCGCCATGAACTAAACATATAAGGCAAAATAGAAGGCTAAACAGCTAAGGGTAAAAATCTACAAGCTCTGGGCGAACTGCAACAAAATGTTCTTTCTTTGGTTAAAAAAGTGAAAAAGATAACTACGAATAAATATTAATACATAGTCCGAAATAAATATGTATGTCCAAGAAAATACTCGAAAACCAAAATGTCTACCAAAATATATTAATAACCGGGCAATTCTAGCTAAAATATTTGAAAGTCTTTGGTAAGACAATTGAAAGACAGTAGTATGAAAGATTTGGTTTATTCTGGCACGAAAGTCTTACAAGAAAAGCTCTCTTGCCAGCTTTTATAGTGAAAAGCAGTCTCAATGGCCGCGTGAGCAAAGCACTGGCGTGCCATTCTGGATGTTCGAGTTCGAGTCCTAGGTCAGCGGTATTTTTCCTCTTTTTTGTTAATTTAATTTATTTTTCCGAAATTAATTTTTTAAATTCTTAGAAGCTTATTTTTATTATTTTTCTTTTTTACTTTAATTTTTAGATGTTATTGTTTCAAAAAGAAAAACGTTTTTTAAATCTCATTTAATTTTTACCACTTTTTCTTTTCTTGATTAAATTTTCATTTAATTTTTAAATCTTTTTCTTTTTTTAATGATTTTTTTTTTAATTTTTGGTTTTTATTGTTTTTAAAAGTTGTTTTTTTCATTCAATTTTTAGAAACATTTTATTAAATTTTCATTTCATCTTAAGACTAAGTTGTTAAAAAAATATATTGTTTTTTAATTTCATTTAATTTTTTGAAGCTAATTTTACTTTTTTATCTGTTTTAATTTATTTTTTATTTTTTTAACTTTAGTTTTTATTTTTTTAACTTATTTTGTCTTTTCTTAATTCATTTTAAATTTTAGTAAATTTTTAGAAACATATTTTGTTCTTCTATTTTTTAACATTTTTTCTTTTTTGTTAATTTTTGATTTTATTGTTTTAAAAAGAATTTTTTTTTGCATCTAACGTATTTTTTCGTTTTTCTTATTTGTTTTTTTTTGTTTTCTATTTCAATTTAATCTTCTCTTAGTTTTAAGATTTTATTATTTTAACGAAAGGGATTTTTTAATTTTATAAAATTTTTTTGAACCTTTTTTATTTTGTTTTTTATCTTTTGTAATTCAGTTTATTTTTAATTTTTAGATACAATTTTTAATAATTTAATTTAATTGTTAGAAACTGATTTTACAATTTTAATTTTTTTCTTCTGCAAATTTAATTTTTTGTAATTTTTAGATTTTATTCTTTTAAAAGAAAACTGTATTGTTTTCTTTATTTCATTTTCAGCCCGATTCTGAATAGAAACTCCCTAGGAATTTTTCCTCATTTCTCTTTCCTCCTATCATGAATAAAAATCCCCTGAGGATTTTTCCTCTTCCCTATTCTCCTATTCTAAACGATCTTCGAAAAAGGGAAAATGTATTTCGGGAAAAAAGTAGGTATTACGAATGTCAAAAAGGAGGAGAATTGATTTCGTTATTCTGGGAGAATTTTCACCGGTATTTTAAAAGGGAACTGCTACTAAAATGTAAGTTAATTACAATTTAAAGGAAATTTGGTGTAATAAAACGTTTAAACCTTTCATTAGGCCCAAAACAACAAATGAGAAACAGGTACAAATCTTAATAAGCCGCGATTAATAATATATATAATTAATAAACGCGCGATTGAAATCAAAATATTTCAACTCGCATGTGTAGTTAAAAGACTAAATTTTAATTACGCACTAATATTTAAATTTCCGGAGCACTAGTTTATTAATAATGCGGCTTCCAAAATTCACAGTGGCAACTGGACTTAGCAAAGGGTACTCTTATCCTATTTGCCCACTTATTTCGGGTAATTACAAGAAAACGGGCGATCTAAATTAAACTTTCAACTTACCCGTGTAGTTAAAAGATTTAGCTTTAAATTAAAATACAGATTTGAAATTTCCGCGCACTAATTTATTAACAACTTGAATATGAAATACTCTTCTATGTGAAACACACTTTTATGTGTAAAACACGCAAATTAAATGGCGGGAGTTGGGCTGTCAAACAGCTCTTCGAAAGTTCGAATTTCCTGCTCCCAAATTTTCAGGGAAAATGCTGCCCCCTGGCAGTTTCGAATAGGAGGATTTTATTCTCGAGAAAATTAAAATCCGCGAGAAATGAAATCCTCGGGAATATTCAGAATTTGGCTCTTTATCTTTCAATTAGTATTTCGAAAGACAGAAAAGAGCTTTCAAAATAGTTGCCAGCATTGCCCTGTAAATATGATTAAAATTCATAAAAAACAGAACATATTTCTATTACCTATGACTTTACGATTTAAGATTCTCCCGTTGGTAACTTGTGGAGTACTGCGACAATCAAAAACGTGAAGAGATCTTGTGTTGGGATGGTAATGCACAGAACAGCTTGTCTAGTATATCTTCTATTGTGAGATTAAAATGTTTTTTTATTCCTAGAAGACAAGAGGTGTTTTGTCAGACTCTAACTAACTCCCGGATGGTGAATATGCTATTTGAAATTCAAGAAAAATGGATTGGCTTCAGAACTCCCGTGTGGTTTCACAGAGGGTTTGATTAACTCAGGGAATATATGAGGCGGTGGTCAGTGTAACGGCTGCCCTTCGTGTTAGTTTGGACGAAACCTATCCTTCTCGTCAACCCTTTACTGCACACCGCGGTGCACCGGCAGCCTGCACTGCTCAGATAAATTGGATTCATTCAATCCTCGTAAAGGAGCATTCAGGTGGCGTGCGGTCTTCCTTGTGATTTCTGCAGGGGAGCTGTTAGTGTGGGTCTATCGCCAAAAGTAATGAGAATTGGCTCCATGAAACCAGAGTTAAACCTACATTGTTTTACGGAGCTCTTGTCTGGTGGAACACGCTAGAGAAAGCTGCACTTGATAAGCGCTACATCGGATTGCCCTAGTCGGCATTGGTGGGGCATTAAGAGCCACGTCTACACTGGCGCTTAAAATTATGTTGAATATTACGACTGTAGATATTTCGGACAGGATTGTTGCAGCACGAACCACCTTTAGGCTCCAAGTGGCTTGATTACGGATTTACTGAAAGAAGGACGCAGTGAACTTCTTCACGGACGGATCAAAACTAGAAGGCAAGGTAGGTGGAGGTGCATTTTGCTGGTAGCAGTACATCAAGACTATGTTTAGGATTCCGGACTTCTGGAGTGTCTTTCAGGCGGAAATTGCTGTTATCAAGGCACCGTTATAGACTATTTACTCCAAAAGCTTAACTGCAGTTAAGAACTGAGTTAAGTTTCAAGAATTTTAACATGGGGTAACCGGCAAGGTTTATTTTTTACTTTTTGCTTTTTGACTTTTATTTGCTTGTACTTAAAATGAGTAATTACCCCCTTCGAGCTGTAATCTCCATTTTACAATACACATAAACTGCAGGGTATGACGTCAGTTAGGGAGGTTAGCATATATTTTGGGGCCCTGAAGGCTACGATGGTGCGCTCTAAATGGTTAAGGGAATGTTGTATCTCTGCATCAACCGCGTCGAAGTACTTCCAAATCAGGCATTTTTGGGTGCCGGGCTACAAACTTCGTGGCTGATAACCTGGCAAGGAAAGGCACCTTGAAACGTTAGCATCGGATATGGAGCAGCTGGGGGCTCCTCAGCGAGCGCTGGTATAAAACAAGGATATGCGCAATTGCAGGATCCTCTGCCCTCTGAAGGCTATGATGAGCGCTCGAAATGGTCACGGGAATATCGAACCTTTCCATCAACCGCGTCGGAGTACTTTCTAATCAGGCTTACTTTGGTGCGAGCTACATTGACATTGTGGAAAACTGGGTGGCAAGGAAAGGCTTCGAAACGATAGCACCGGGTAAGGATCAGCAAGATCCCTCTGGCCTGGAGTGGACCGAGGGCGGGCAAAGAAGCTTCTTATGCTTGCAAAATCTGAGCACTCGCTCTATTGGTGCGAGTTCTGACAGGCCGTTGTGCGATCGGTATTCACTCGGAATGATAACGACTCGGTATGATAACTCCCTTTTGCATCGGCTGTCACCTAGCCTCACGTAACCTTTCAAACTAGTAGACATTATCCCATACACCCGGCGAATGATCGTTAATCAATAAGTTGAAGCTCCCGTATATGTAAAAATATATGTACATAGTACGAAAAAGCACGCACAACATATTCTAAGTTACGCACATATATTTAGGGGATTCACAAGACGTGTTAACCGTCGTAAAATCTTAAG